CCCCCGGAGTTTCTGAATCTATTCATTATCTATCAATGAAGCTTTGAGAGAAAGAAACAAAATAGGCATGTTAGCAGGGACACTAGGAAGCCTCCAACAATCAAATATGCCAAAAGACAACCTATGAGAACAAACCAATTATGGCATGATCATCCACTGTGTTGACCTAGTTTGAAAACTGCAAGGACAGCAAATTAGAGTAACAGCAATCTTCGTAGTTTTGTTTTAGTGAGGTTTTATAGCGCTCGCAACTGCCTAAGGTCATACGAGCACCAAGGGGTGGATGTCAACAGAGAAGTCCTTACAGGGAATGAGGCTTACTCTGCTCCCCTCTCTTGCCTCAACAGCACAAAGTCTGCTCAGCAATCTTGAAAAGGCACCACCCCCAACAATAAACAAAACCCAAGAAAGGGAAGTCACACGCTACGAGAATATGTCCATGTACAAGGGCGTCACATTGGGTTTTCACGATGGGAACAAATATCACATCTCCCATCATTCACAAATATCACATCTCCCATCATTTACAAATATCACATCTCCCATCATTTACAAATATCACATCTCCCATCATTCACAAATATCACATCTCCCATCATTCACAAATATCACATCTCCCATCATTCACAAAAGCGGCAACATTGACTACATTTCAATGATGACATGAGGCTGTTCCAGATAGTGAAAGGGTTTTGTGACGGCGCCACCTACCTCAACATGACATACAGGCACTTCAGCAACAGCAGGAAACACTGGGGACAGAGGGAGACACATCAGGTCAATCACTCACATCAAACAGACCACATCAGGTGAGTCACTCACATCAAACAGACCACATCAGGTGAATCACTCACATCAAACAGACCACATCAGGTGAGTCACTCACATCAAACAGACCACATCAGGTGAGTCACTCACATCAAACAGACCACATCAGGTGAGTCACTCACATCACAAAGAGACCACATCAGGTCAATCACTCACATCAAACAGACCACATCAGGTGAATCACTCACACCAAAGACACCACATCAGGTGAATCACTCACATCACAAAGACACCACATCAGGTCAATCACTCACATCAAACAGACCACATCAGGTGAACCACTCACACCAAAGACACCACATCAGGTGAATCACTCACACCAAAGACACCACATCAGGTGAGTCACTCACATCAAAGAGACCACATCAGGTGAGTCACTCACATCAAACAGACCACATCAGGTGAATCACTCACATCAAAGAGACCACATCAGGTGAATCACTCACATCAAAGACACCACATCAGGTGAATCACTCACATCAAAGACATCACATCAGGTCAATCACTCACACCAAAGACACCACATCAGGTCAATCACTCACACCAAAGACACCACAGCAGACGTAGCAAAGTCTGTGTCAGGATGACACCATACAAACACTTCTCAAAGCCCCCCCG